GTTACAAGCTCTTGGTGCATAAAGAAGATCTGTAAAGTTGCAAAGACTAAAGTCTCAAATCCAAAGAGATATTCTTTATAAAAGTTAAGAGTCAACCACGCCTACCTAAAACGACTCGTTCTAACACGCCTCCACACGTCTATGTCACGATGTGGGAAGATTTGCATAACACCGCCCAAATGTTCACGCAAAGAAAGAAGGCGTAACTTTTATTTTCACTATAGTATTGTTGCCGCCGCCATGTCGTGAAGGCGCTGTGTGTTTCGATGTGAAAGTGAAACTACTTTGTTTGGCCTTCCAAAAGAGGATAATATCCGTTTCGTCATGCCTGGAGCTGATCCGTGCTGGTCGCTGAGAAAATACATCAACTTCGCGCTGTGGATTGCCGGATCGGCTTTCACCGTGGACTAAGCGGAGTCCAGCCCGGGGTCGTCACATGTTGTTGCCGCAAGCCCACTGGCCGCCGCTCACTCAAGCCGGCCGTGTGTGATGCTGTGTGTTTCATTGTGAAAGCGAAACTACTTTGTTTGGTCTGTGCTCTGTGTGCTCTGGGTCCAGGCTTAAACCTGAGCTCGGACCCTGGGCTCAAGAGTAATTACCGATCTCAGAGCCCTCTCCCTGGACAGCACGCCAAATATGCATAACCTTTACTCTGTTCATTATATGTAAGTGTGAACTCGTGAAATGGTAAGGGGCGTAACATTACCGTCACACGCTTGAGGCATTCGGCCAATCACAACTCACTGGATAGCTGGCCAGCCACAGCACACCTCGCTTTTCAGACCGATGAGCTTTGTAAAAATCGACTCGTTTCAGAAAGGCGGGGCATAGAGGAGAAACAATAATGTACAGTATGTGGAAAATAATGTGTTTTTTGAACCTTAAACCGCATTTTCATTACACCAAATACACAAAATAGCAACATCATATGACCCCTTTAAAAAAAAGTAAACAGATACAAATTGCATGTTTGAAACATGAATAATAAACATGAATGATAATAATGATTAAACATGCTTGCATTCATTACCACACTTACATAGTCATTCAGGCACAAACACACTGTGTCAATTAGGGGTGAATTCTGTGTGGATGACTGCATCACAGTAAGAGACTTTCCGGGCAAAAATATTTGATTAAGAGCACATGAAGCCACAGCAAAGAAAACATGACAAAAAAA